AACTCAGCATAGACAATGTTATGACTTCATGCAAGAAACAGAGAACCTTTGTTCTCTCATACTATGAAAACAGCTTTTGTTAATTGCTAAATGATTACTTTTCTTGAAATGATAAGAAATCAGGGCATTGTAATGGATACAGTTTGACTGAACTGTCTCTATAGACAAGGTTAAACAACAAAGCAAGACAGTGCAGTATCCGACGCAGATGGTCTTGCAACATACAGCTTCTCTTCAAGATCATGCTCGAAGTGAGCTACTGATACAGAAGAATTTTACGTCGATACGTAGCTTTTACTACTGCGGTGTTTATTTCAAACACGCAATGCACAAATTTGCAGAAAATTATTGTCGACAGTTGTTTTCAGTTGTCTGCATTTATACCAATAAGCCCCGTAGGAAGGATCGTAATTTGTGTCATTCTCAAACAACTCTGAGTTATCTTGAAGTACCAGCAACACTTTTCAGTCTATGAGTTTCTCTCATCCCATTAATAAACAAATTATGCAAATGAAATAGAGTGAATCCACATCATTTATAACTATTTCTCAAGATTAAGAAAGACAAAACTGAGATTTTACTGTAAGTTGTTCCGCTCAACTTTTATTTTCAACTTGTTTGAATCTCATCAAACCGAAGAGCTTATTTCGTCTGCGCATCCCTTAGAATAGGCACTTTCTCTACCCCTAGCATCGACTCATAATCACCAGTCATGCAACTCTTTTACTAGGCTACATTTATCGTCCCCCGAACCGCAATGGTAAATTGCAAAGTAGGATAATTGAAGCCTTTAACTATGCTTCTACATTAAATTTTACCATCAATTTTACTGTAGGAGCCTTCAATATGCTTGAAACTGGTTGGGAACCGATTTGTGCTCCACTTCGATGGAGGGGCTTCCTGAACACAATCGAATTCTCCATTCAAATACAAAATGTCCTAACACCTACCCGAGACAATAATATTCTAGACCTATTATTCACTTAAGGTATTTTTACCTCTTAGTACACGTTAGTCTGCCATTCCCAAGCAGTAGCCATAACACAACTATCTCTTCCTTCTGCACGAAACAAAAATATAGTGTTAAACGATCTTCTCAACTTAAGACAGTCATATGCTTCTAAAGAGCTAGATGCAATGAATCTACCTACTTTAACCGCTGCATACATTGGGTTCTATTCTTTTCGTGCAGCGACACTGTCCTAGTATGACTATACAATAATTTTTCTGTTTTAAGGGACTATGAACGCAGCATAAAAAACTTTATTCCCAGCTGCACAAAAGATAATATTAGGGTAAAACTTGAGCACTGTGGTGGGATGTGATCCCACTTAAGTTGATTAATTAAATGCGTCGTATAGTGGAATAGTATTATTTACCGCATCACGTTTCGGACACAATTGATAGCCCATAGTCATATCAAGATGACTACACAACTTTGTGTAGTTATCTTGATATGACTGGACAATAAATTATGTCCGAAACGTAATCCAGTAAACAATACTATTCTACTTCGCAACAGATCTAATAAATCACCTAAAATGCACAAAGGATCGACTACTTAGACTCCAACAATACTTCAAGGACAGAAATTTCTCAAATGTAAATATTCATATCATCCACTTAAGACTATGAGAAAATAGAAACAAAAGGTTGCTCAACGAAACTGATGCTCTTGTCGATAACCTTTAACTTAGTTCAATCCGTAAGCTTTATCACAAAAGACTGGACTTTCGCAAACTTGGCGTACTTCTAACCCAAGACGGTAAGAATAATACCAGTGATCCCACTGATATTTGTGAGTCCTTAAATATCTACTTTGCAAGTTCACATATCTCCTATGACAGTACGCCCTTGATACCATTTCCTTAGTCAATATTAAACATCACCATCGCACCAGATAATATTCGAAAAGCCATTATTCCTTTCAATTGTTCAAATAGCCCGGGGCTTGATATGATTCCATCATCCTTTTTAAAAAATATATATGGGAGTGAAGACATTGCACTACTTCTCTCATTAATGTATTTCATACATTTTAATCAACCGGAACTTACCTAGAGACGTGGAAGACTACAATCATCATTGACCCCTTAAATACAAGTCAGGGCTTCGTCCCAGCGTTACAAGCTACAGGCTTATAAACTTGTTATGTCAAAGCCTTTGAAAAGTTTGTATCAAGTTATACATCTGACTCTCTCCTGTAGGAAGAACTCCTTTCCAACACGGCTTTATGAAGTCGCGTTCGTGTATGACCTACCATTTTCAGTTTTCTGATCACATCACAGCTTAAGGATGCCAGTCTATCATAATACTACACTTGCATCTCAGTAAGGCATTTGACAAAGTGAATCGCAAATTACCAATACCTAAGATTATATGGACTCACAGACTTTCTATTGAACTGGCTGACATCATCCTTAGTAATCGTCTAATGGTAGTTAAGATAAACACGCACACATCTAAACGGCTTCCCATAACTAGTGGAGTAACACAGTGCAGTGTACTCGGTCCCATGCAGTTTCTTTTGTCTGGATGACACCTGTGATGTTATATCACACAAAACTTTTTCGCTTCGCCGGTGGTCAAAATATTGTACCGCCAATCTAAAGCGTACCTTGTATTTTTGACGAGATCCGAGGGGCTATTAATAGACTTCATTCCTGGTGTCGAACTTGGAAAGTGAAGTTCAATGCTGATACTTGTGGAATCATGTGCTCCAAACATATCCCACTCGGATATTTTGCATAACTACACTACAAACTTATTACCTTTCCACCACTTATTACAGACCTAGGTTTGAAATACTCACCAGATTTTAGCTTCACGGATAATATTGACTTCATGATTTCCAAAGTCCAAAAGCTCACTGGACTCATATTTCGAAACTTCGAGACGCTAGAATCTAAGATCCTGTTGTATAAGTCATGCATCAACCCATTACTTGAACTCCGTCCTCCTACTATAGACAGTTTTACTTAAAGACAGACGTACAGTTGAAGGTGTACAGGGAAGAGTTGCCAAAGGTTTAGTGAATAAATATTCTGAAACTTTCTACTATAAAAGATGTGGCGTACTTTAACTGGGACGGCATTGGTTCAAGAGGCTGAAATTGAACCTAAATGCCATTTTTGGAATAGTTAGCGGGCTTATGTACCTCGTCGACAACGACCTCAGGTTTAACGCAATCACAAAATGCAACCCTAGATACGACGCTTTTACTTCTAAAATGTCCCGTCGCTGTACAAGATACACATCAAACTTTTTTGCTGTTAAGTATGAATCCCCTTCTTTTCTTCACACCTCAGGTATTTTCACCCCTTCTGAACAAATACCTTACAGAATGTGGATTAGAAGTAATTTGTAATAAAGATGAGAGGCTGTACATCATTAGTTTGAACTTTGCACTAATCTATCCACTAAACAAGTAGAAAACCACTACGATAGTTAACCCCATAAGTGCTTTATTTTTTCCCCTCAAAAAACATAATAATTAACACCATTAATCTGAGCATTTTAACGTCTTCAACATACGTTGATAAAACTTGCATTCCTGGTTCTGCAACTCCAGTGAAATATTACTATGAGAATCCTGAATAATTTTACCTAAATTCACGCAAATGAAGTGAGTACACCATAGCCCGTATTCTGTATGTTCCAATCTTCTGAAGATACTTGTTTCTAGGGTTGATAAATTATCCCATTATTGCTGTAAAACCCAGACAGCATTTACTTCGGGCGCGCTTAGCGACTTTTGGGTACTCCCCCTAAATTTCACAAATATTTCACTTGGCCGCTAACGTTTTATTGACTTCTATGCTAATAACGTAGTATGTAAACGTCAAATATTCATATAACAATATTACGGAATATGCCTTCTCAAAACTTGGGATATGGGTTATTACAAATCTTCGGGCGTACTACCGATACTTTGAGTACTTAGGGCGCATCGCATACACTTCTGGTGTTTTTGCGCACGTTTAATAAACATACAAAGTTTCGGGTTAACTGCAGACACTTTGGGTAGTGCCCATAGCTTTGTAGTGGCCTCGAAACTGTTGGACGTGTTTAAGTACACCGAAATTGGTGACTGCAAGCGGAAATCCTGTTCAAAATACTATACACCGTATTGGTGAGTGCTAGTATTTTTTTGTTGAGTAATTACGTTCCCTGCACCCGAGGAGTGTTGCTGTTTACTTACCTTTATTCAGTTAACTGATTATCCATGCTTCGATATAATGGGTGCGTGAAATTTTTATGGGAAGCAGTGAAGCTCCCTATAAAATTCTACAATTCCTTCACTATCCTTCATTTTCAGTTAAAATGACAAGTCCGATACCTCGTGCTGATATTGCAGCACCAGTCACAATTGGATTTAAGGAACATAACCCCTCATTAAGCATTACGACCTCAAGCCACAAAAGGTGGTGAGGATATATCTATCTTCGGAAATAGGGATATTTCGATACGATCGTCTCGAAATACGCCGAGAGCACTCAGCTACCGAGTCCGCCAGAGAGCGTCAACGAGATGCAGTAAGTAGGGGAAGAGTATGATATACCTGTCATTTTTACAGTATAAATTTGTTTCCACATCTACGTCTTGTACATGCTTTTCGGTGAGCGTGTCTTTAGACTTCGGGTGCACTTTGGGACTTTTGACATTATCAGGCAAAAACTTCATGTGCACTTTTTGTCTTTCAGGGAAAAGGCTTAGAACATTCGAGGGAAATCGCGCGTCGCCCGATATGCGCCAGGAATAAAATTTTCGGGTTTTAGCCCGAAAGTTACAAAGTGCGTCCTAAGTACATGCTGGCTGGGAAATATAGCCTAACCTAGCCTTCGGGAAATATAGGACCCTAGCATTATTTATTCACTACTTATATGTATATATATATATACTGATAGTTACGAGTCTTTATTTCTTTCGGGCAACAACTTACGGTAAGTTCCGTAACCTTCTTATGCGTATGTAACTTATACTGTTTCACCAATACTCACCTCTTTGTAACGACCGCCTTGGTTTGCGCGCCCTGCATAACGAAGTATTCACCATAGTATGCATAGTTTTAAGAAATCTACACTATCAATTAGTTCGCTTCCAAAAGGGAATTCATGTGTTGTAGGTATTCAGTACTTAAGTACTCATCCATCATGTGCGCTTTTCGAAGACAGGAATAGACTTTTCCTACCCTACTCTTGACATTTTTGGCTTTTGTCGTGCAATTCACATCATAGTCCGTATTATAAGGCTTCGCCTGAAGTTATCAAGTCGTCGTTCGGGGTTTTATCACCTGAGGATAGTTATTGGAGACTTTTTTGTTTCCTTAATGTTGAGGAAGCTAGCAGTCGGCACGAATTGACTTTTTAAACATATCTTGTAATCGAAGGCTGAAGTCCGTTTGGTCTATCTTTAGCTGAGTACTTCAGTTCAGGTATGTTTCCTGTAGAAGCTCTTAGCTAGTTGTGAACAATGTGGTTAGTGACAATTATGTTTGCGGCCAACGCAAATGCTAGTTCCCGGTTGACAAAGATATGCAGTGTGGTGCATATGGATGTTGGCTACCAAAGTTTGCGCCGGATACATTCCTCTCATGTACAAGCATCGCGGTGAACCAGCTGCCGTCTGACCATGTGACTTTGCTGAAAGCCCTAGTTCAGGAAGCCATGAAGACGTTGATGGCCAAAAGATACTTCCGTGGTAATAATGGCTGTCAGCCTGATATTGTGTCATATGACACGTACGACGTGATACCCTGAGATAGGCTATCGCATACTAGCGATTTAATGGATGAGGCCGCACCAGTCCCAACGCATGACTGACACGAAAGAAAACCTACGGTGGGTTTTCGAGTTTCTCATTCTCAGTAACAGACACTTTCATGGCATGTATGGGCAGGCCATAGAACTCTTCAAACACTGTGCTCTTTATCTACACCGGTGTTCACCTATTAGAAGTAACATGACAGATCTCAAGATCGGCAAGAGAACCAGGTCCCGATGTGATGGCTCTAACAGAAACCGGACTTATAAAGGGTTGCAATTTTTCGCCAAGCTTAACAGGGTATTACTGTTTAGAGACTGGTGGGGTCGTGAGTCGTGAAGGTGGTGGCACACTACTCCTTGTTCGTGATGATGTCCACACACGAACGGTCACTTAATAAGTGCTGGGATGGGTGCAGTTCCTATGGCATGTTCAGTCGTGAACGGGGGTCAAGTAAGGTTTGCTTGAGGAAAACTTACCGCAGCCCATCTTGCATTGCAGTTGACTTAGTGCTAACTCACATATATGACCGGAGTGAAAGCAATGGCTGCCTAATATTTGGGGATCTGAGCAGTCCACACATAAACTGAACTGAGCTAACAGTCCTAGCCCTAGGCAGTCGCTTCGAAACTAGTGTACGTTTAACGATATTAGAACTCGAAACGTGGTTCAAAACGTAGCTCGTGCAACGTGGCACGGTTGTGAACACCATCCATTGGTATTAGACTTGGCTTTAACCCACCAATGTGGGGACACCATAGATCCTTTCATTAGCTGACAGCAGTCTGCGACGCTGAACTCCAGCTTTCGAAGGTAGGATTTTGCTCACAAAACTGCCCTTCCTAGACCCTATGTGTAGCACGCAGACATTTCAAGTACAAGGGATCGTACAGGCGATAAGGTTTTTATCATCCAGGGGGACTCAGCAACCAAGAACGCCTGAACTACGTTCAGGACTCTATTCGAAGAGGTGAAGACATCATCTATTCCGTGGTGGACTCCACGCAGATCCTCACGCCACACTCCGTGGTCTGATGGGAGCGCTCAAAGAGGCTTATAAAATTCCTTCGAAGAAAACCAGACGGAACAATTTTAAAACCAAGCATTATTGAGTTTGTGACACGTGCAAAACTTTAATTACGTTGTCTCCACTGCCTGGCAGGAGACAGCTGGTAATTGATTACTAGCGGTGTCCTAAAAGACTGTTCGCACTCACAGGAAGAAGGAACGAAAAGAAATTTCGGAACCGTTCCAGGTGGCACATGAAAGTTTCAGTAGATTGGCGGAATCTAATTCGTCCGAAGCTGGACATTTATTGAATTACTTTAGTGAAGTCTCCTCTACAGATCATGATAGCGAAGCCCCCAATAATGGTGTAAGCACTTCCCCGCCAATGGGTAAACTCCTCGCAACAAGGAAAACATGGTCCGTAACTTTCACCTCAAAGACGTCAGGTTACTGCTGTATAAAGCTGCCTGAGTCAACCATCAGAATATTGTCCGTTTACATTGAGTGGTATCCACATAACAGACAAACTGAAAATAGAGGGTGTCGGGGTACAGAACCCAAAGCCTAGAACCAATTTGGATGAGACACCTCAAAATTGACTTGAACTCTTCTTCAATGTGCTATACATATTCACTTTTACAGCCAGTAGTGAGTTTCAGTTCGAACAAAACAGTTGTTACAATCTGCACAGCCACCATCACAGCACCACAATGCACCCATCTAAATCCTGTTTGCATGCAAGTTCCTTCACCATCAAATTCTCCCGGATCTAGAACAGACTTCCCTCTGAGGTGATGGCCTCCAAATCAAACTGTGAATTTAGTCGGTTACCAGCTACCCTCTTATCATCTGGCAACTTGTCCGGCTTACTGAGCACACCAGCACTATTCTGTATGACATTTCATATACTATGTCCTCTTACTGTATGGTGGGACATCCACCGTACCCTCACTGGCCTTCCACACGAAAAGCTGAAGAGATTTTCATAAGTTATTACCTCGAACTGATGGCACATTCTGCCCTACCCGACACCGTAAGCAAAATAAGAAGTTCTAAGACACATGGTAGCCTGAAATGTACGTTCTCAGGTATTTGATAGCGAGGGCATATACAATGAACGCCATAGAAAATAAAGTTAAGAAAGGAGAAACATGAACATAGTGACCACACTCCTTGTTGGAATTCTCACTTCTTTCCCCGCCCGCTGCTTTATTTCTGTTTTTCTTCGCCGTGGAAAAGCAATTCAATTCCAGGTGTCGTCTTGGTTATCTTTGAAACTCATTTATTTAAGGAAGAGACCTTGAGGGAAACTGCCATCCATGGAAGGTAGCCAATGTTACTGCGTTCACGACACCTAACTACAACAGTTGGAAACAAAGAATGTTCATCGGAATGCAGCTCCAAAGTTATCAAAACCTAGGATTTATTCGTTGTAAAAGTGACCAGGGAAGCCTAACACTTGTCGGACACATAGCTCTCACTACCCGTGAAAACGGTGGACAAGATGTTCTGGAAGTTCACCTAGTGTTTTCTAACGAGCCTATTTCTTCTGGATGGAATTGAAAAAATGAAGATATTTGTCTCCCAGCGACAATATTCATCAAGATTATAAATCTGTGACATAAAATGATATTTACATGCATGATTCATGCATTTCTGGAGTCGTCAATGAAGTACAATAAACAAGCAACTTTTGTGTGCATTCCCCTATGAACTTTTCACCATTATTCTAAGCATAACTTAGAAGATGCTACAATGGTGTTCTTAGTTTCAAGTTTTTTCAGGAAATACATGTAACGTCGAGGTATAAGTCCTGGTCGTTCTGCGTATACTAAGGCAATACTTCCAGTTGCCAAACTTGTAAGTGTTTGCATATTTATTCTGCTGGAATGTTCCATTATATATACATGCAGCAATTATATTCTCTAGTGGCAGAATACACAGTGAATGAGATTACCTGCCACAACCATGCATGTAATTTACATAGTAAGTTATTTGTACCTGAAAAACGGTATGTACTTGTATAATCAGGAATAAATACTATCATTGTTGTTATTCTAGTTGTTCAATATTCTTAAACCTGGAAAACCATCGAGCCCGATAAGTTGCATAGCAGGTTGCTCTTCCCTAGTGAACACTTGCTAAACGGGTCACCGATACTCCCCATATGTCTCCACCTTAGGCTTGCCTCCCTGGTTGCTGGAACAATGTCATAGTCAGCCCAATTCTTAAAGCCAGTAGTCACCGGCTGGTGGTTAACTATCACCCTGTTTGTTTGGCTTGTACAGTTATGATGTTGGGAAACATAAGGCGCCTAACCACTTCAAATTAAATGATAATATGACACCACGGCAACGGGGATGCCGTGCTCAAACTCTTGTTTGGCTAACCTCCTCGTTGCAAGAGACGAATGAATCGCAGCCTATGGCTGCAATCTCCCAATATGCACCTTGTTCTTGGGCTCAAGCGACGCCCCTCTCATGTTAAACTTTTTAATGTGAGAATAAAATATTTATTTATTTATTAGATAGGAGAGGGCCAACATTTGAAGTGGATGGACGCAGAACCACATCACTCCACAGTCCCAAATGGTAAGAAGTACCTGGCTCTGGTATGCTTCTTTTCCACACGATTTTAAGGAAATAGCTGGGACTAGTACTGACTGGTGAGCTAGGCGCCAGCTGTGGTTTTCAAACGGATGTCACCGGAGCCTGCACCTCCCCAGACGTCTTCTTGTGGCTCTAAATTACCTATTTGCAACTACACTTAGGGGTCCTCATTGCCATTGTACTGCCATATCTGAAGAGAGATGTGACCCTGATGAAACCATTTCGGAGGTTAGCGGCGCAGGATGCTATAGGGATGCGGCAAAAGCCCTGTGAGTATAGGACGTAGGCCCAATAAAGCTACTCCCTTGGCTAAATTGGGCTACGTGTTGACTTGATAACAGCCTGCAGTATCCTAGGTAAGTGAGGTCATCCAAATGGTGAAATCTCACCGAACGGACATAGTGACAATCCTCACGGTAACCCAAGGAGAACCTTTCACCAAAAGTGAAAACCTGAGTGCTTTTACGCTTTTACTATCTGCGTGTTTGCGGCCAATGGAACGCATTACCTGTTTAGATCGCTGCAGCTGTGTCTGTCGACAGCATCAAGAAGAGTTTGGACAGCTACACAGCGACGCATGGCTTGGACTCAGCTGGATCACAGGTCAAGTCGATGCGACACATCAACCCCACACAACTCAGTACAGACAACC